AATAATAATAATAATAATAATAATAATAATAATAATAATAATAATAAAAAACCTCAATCACGATCTCACTAAATAGTGGAACAGGCTCGAGATTAAATAATTTTCTGCTGTTTCTATGCTTCTCTCACAACACAACAAACTTAAACTCAACCACCATTATGACAATACAAATTCAAAAAGAAGCAATGTTCTGAAATGTGCCTGCAAACAATTTTTCTGAGTGGTCTATTATACACAAGACAACATCAGTCTGTTATCACAAAGATTTTTCACTTATCAGTAGCACACTCAGCTGAACAAAAGGGTTCAAATCCCATTTAAATTCAAGCACATAACTGGTATTTCCATATGGCACTTGAAATTCAACACGGATAAAGCTGCCAACTCTCAGATTTGGCTTTTGTAGTCTTTCAGATGACCTTTCAGGTCCCCGTTGTACCATTTAAACAGCAAGAAAGCTTTCCCTGCTGTCACAGGGTCACAGAAAAAGGCCCTTTGGCCCATCCTAGAACATACCTTCAATCAGTCCATGGCTATTTAGACTTCATAGCCTCACTTTATCTGCTCCACCACAAATACCCAAATAGATCTGCAGTTGTTCTGGGAATTAAGAGAGTTAGCCTTGGATTGATAAATAATAAACTGATTCAAGTCGATTTGTCTGTAAAAAGGTGAAAAGCAAGTTGGGCGGGTGGGGGGGGGGAGGGAGGCACATACACCCTCCAACATCAACATTAGCACTTTACAAAGTGAAAGATTACCCATACGCAGTCACTAACTTCAACAATATTATAAAAACAGAATGCCCCTCTTGAGAAGCAGCACACAAGTCTTACCAACAACCCTTTACGAACCACTGCCACTATCCTAAGCTGAGACCTCACTTGGCTCACTAGCGCTGCCATCTTGTTGTGCCACGAAGGTGAAAGGTCAACTCCACGTCGCTTCTTGCCCCTCCTCTACTCACCCTCTCCCTTCAACAAAAAAATTAAACCACACTGGTGAAAAGGACCCTTTTCTTAAAAAGAAAGACAATCATTTCAAAACAAAAGAACATCGTTTTGAACGCAACGAATAAAACGGTCTCCGGGGCGAAAACTGCACGAGCTTCGATACGACGTCACCGCGTTCCAAAAAAAACCGTCCCTGAGGGAGATTTTTTTCTTAAGAAACGCTATTATTTAAATAAAAAGAGCCGTGCCTTCATTCTTTTTCCTCTCTCTGGTTTAGGCTGGCTAGGGTTGAGGGTAAATACGGTTTTAATTTTTTGTACCGCAACGCACGTCACGTGGCACGCGTTTTCGTGACCGTGCTACTGAAGAGACCTTGATGTCGCCTCCCTTCGTGTTTTTTTTTAAAACAACCCCGATTTGGTAGACGGGTGAAGGGGAAAATAAATGTACAATTTCTAGGATTTAAGAGGATGAGATGATGCTGGTGGGGGTGGGGAGGTGTTGAAATCGCTTTTTGAAGAGGGATCATTCCAGTGCGCCTGCGCCAACTCTGCAAAGGCGTTCTGCAATTCATTCTGACGTCACCTGAAGTTACATAACAGACCCCCACCCATGGGAGGGAAAGGAAGAGGACAGGGAGGTTTAGGGAGACGAAAAAAATTAAGTTAGTGTGGGGGAGGGGGAGAAATCGGTGGAGTATTCAAGCGTTTTATTTATTTAGATTATTTTGCCTCGCCGAATTGCAAAACGTTTCACCTTCAAACTAGGAAGGGGACGGGGACGGGGAATTTGGAAAAAAAATATACTTTTCAATTTTGCAGAACCGACCGAGATACGATAAAAGTCGGTCAAGCCGCCATGCGGCCAATTGGATTCAAATCCTAACGGCCGTCTCCACGTGACCACCTCCCCCACCTCCCCACCCACACTTCCACTGTGACGTCCGCGCCCTCGCTATAAAAGGCTGGGCGCAGGCTACTGCGCTATTCCAGCGTTTGTTTTGAGGTATGTGCGGGAGGGGAGGGTTTGATCCAGGGCGCTTGCGTGGGTGTTGTTCCTGGGATTTTTTTTAAAAAAAATTTTTAACGTGTTTAAAAATATTCGATTTTTGCTTATTTGCTTATAACTGTGTTCCTCCTTTGTGTTTGTTTCTTCACTCTAGGTTTCCCCCCTACCCCCCACTTCGGTGAAGACGACGGACAAAAGAAGCCTCTTGTCTGTGTGTGTGTGAGGATAACAAAAAAAACAGCCGCACCTTCAAAAAAAAACAATTTTTCATGTAGTTTTGATCAACCTTGGGACACCTGATCTCTTTGTGTTCGCTCTTTTAAAACGATTTTTTTTCCAAAACAATCAAAGAGAAACTTCTTGCGAAATAAGGAGACAGATCAGCAAAAAAAAACGAGAATATATACTTTACCCATATAAGCTCCTTTTTTAAATGAAAATTTACAAAAAATAATAAGTCATGAGAGTCTCTCTAACAAAAAATTTGTCAACATTGTGTTGTGTTTGCACATAAAAAAAACCGAGTCGCTGTCAAGGAGATTTTTAATAGTAAGTTTCGCTTTTTGGCAACAAAAGGAGAATGGAAATTTAAGGTGGGGAGAGGGTGGGAGTGAGGCGGCGATGGTTGGCAAATGAAGATGATGGGTGTATATAATTTTAAAGGCTTTTTTAAAAAAAAAATCAAATGGTGGTGGGGAGGGAATGTAGCGAAGTTGGGCGAAGTAGGAGATAAACCCATGAGCTCACACGCACGAAAAAGATAAACGTATTAGTATTGAGCGTCTCTTTTTTTTTTTAAAAAAGAAGTGGTAATAAAAGCCTTTTTTTTTGAAAAAGACGTACGATAAGTCGCTTCGGCGTGTGTGTGAGACGGTGAGGGCAATCTGTAAATAAAGATTGCCGTGAATAAATCTCCCGGGAATGAAAGCAGAAATACGGGGTGGTGGGTCTTTTATATATCTCTTTAAAGTCAGAAGCGAAGGCGGGAGGGAGGGGGTTTGTTGCTCGTTTTTTTTAAAAAAAAATGTTCGGTAGCGGCTTGTTGATCTGCAGAATTGTTTTAAATTTTTTTTTCACTCGCCCTTTTTCCTACCTCAAGCTGCTGCTCTTTTTTTTTGAGGTCGCCTCCCTAAGATGGCGGCGGGTTGTCGTTGTAAAATGGCGGCGGCCGTCCATGTTCTCTCTCTCTCTCCCTTCCCCCCCCCTCCTGCGCTGCCTGATTGTGGTGGTGATTGTCATTTCTTTTCCCCCTCTCGCTGGAAACGACAGCGCAAGGACAGAGCTAGGGCGAGGCTGGATGACATCAGTGCTGACTCGACCTTCCCCTTTCTCCACCTCCCCTTCCTTTTTCCGACCGGTTTTTCAAAAAAACCCCCCCCCCCCGCCGCCAAATGTCTTAACCCTTATCACCAGCCGACACCCTAGTTTATTTTAAACAAAGCCTGCCCAGATCGAGACTCCCCTTTTTACCTCTTGAAAAGACTTGATTCTCCCTCCCCGTCGCCCACTCAGAATTCAAAACTGGTAGCGCAGTTGTTCTGTCGAACCGATGGCAATTTTTTTCAAACCCCTTTTTTTTAAAGCTCTACTACCATCGTTGAAGCTTTGTTCCTCCGCGCCCCCCTTTCCGACCAAATGCTAGTTTTTTTTTTAAAAAAAGTCCCCGCTAGTTGCCCGAGATTTGGATGAAAAATTGCCAGCTCTTTCTACTCCACGCCGTGTGGAGCTCAGGAGTGTTGCGACATTAATTGCTTTAATTCTTTCTTCCCCCGATGTTCAAGGAATCTTGAATCTGTTTTTTTTGTGTTAACTATACAGTTCATTGTGCTTTGAAGGACTTGATTGATGTCTGTTTTGGAATCGGGTGGGGCGGGGGGAGTCAGTCTCCTTATTTAATTGGTTACCTGCGAGCATTTAATCGGTTTGCAAAATGCCCGCTTTAATACACAGCGGTGGGACAGTAAGTTTACTTAGCGGCATCAATCAACTTCTGGATTAAATTGATTTATGATTTTGTTCATGGAGAAAGTACCTGTAACCATGTTACCACTGGGCCGCATGTAAATTCATGCAGGCCATAACTTAATGATCACTGTTTTCCATAATAGGTGCATAATTCTTTGCAGCGAGCATCTTCATATGGGAAGCGGTTAACTTTTCACATAGGAATTAAGTGCCCATGTCTGCACGCTTTTGTACTGTTTAGTTTCCCAGCACAAGTAGGGCTGATGAATAGGGGGAGGTGAAGCTAAAACATCCTGCACTTTAAAAACTCATCACAGGGACAGCCACATGCAAACTGGTAAGCAAACCTTTCTGACCTTAATTACATTTCACAACTTCATTGCTTTCTTGAACGTGTAATGTTTGCCGTTCTGCAAAAGAAAACAAATCCATGGTGAAATATTCGATACATGCATGCAAAAAGGCTTTGTTGACATTGTTCCAGTGAACTACACAAGAACTTGTTTCACAGTCTGTTTTCATGCCTGACTTAACCATTGGTGGCCACGTCTTCCATAGAACAGTAGAATATTTTTAGAATCTATTTCAAATTTATATTTTTGAAATTTGATTTTAAATAACCTTTTTTCAAGATTTGAGTAGTGGCTGAGTTTTTTTTTAATAGCAATTGTAAGAACTTTTGAGGTGGTGGGGTTATTTGAAATTGATCTCAAATGGGTTAACAGCTGTACAGGTTAATGTGCAGCACTGCACTTACATGAATTTGGCAGTGTAAACTCTAGACCATTAATTGAATTCAATTTTTAACTCAAACTTCTTTCTCTTTTCCCCTTAGTGTATTAAGAAATGGCGTCAGTGCCCCCGACTGCAGGGCTAATTTCCTCCGCTCCCTTCCCCCTGCTCCCTTTTCACACTTGATTCTGAAAGTGGTCAGGGGTACTGCAGATACAATTGAAGGGCAGTGTAAAGGTTTTGATATCTAATGCGAAGATATTCGCAACCCGTGTTAGCTCTGGGTAAGGTAGCAAGCGAGCCGTCCTGTTACCTTTTTATATAAAAAGGGAGGTAGGTCAAGAAAGCATTTAGTGCACCTGTGAAGGTAAGAACTCAAAACAAACCAACTCAACTCAGCTAAGACAAGCTTTATCTTGTTGTATAAAAACCCTACATGTGGTTGAATTAGTTAGCCTTGGCCTAGATCCCCTCCAGTGACCTGGTGGTAACATGTTCAGTGATACTTAACTCATTTGTGAAAAAATTCTGTCTAATTTAAATGATAAAATAGACCTTGTATTTGTAGAATTCCATTGTACCTGATGTAATATTTATAATGCACGTGAGGGTGGGTGGGGGGGGTGGTGGAAGATGTATGTAACCATATATAAACTGGTTTCTTGCTGCACTCATCAGGTTTGTGCAGTATGTTACAGGAAACCAGTGGTCTTTCTCAAGCAACTGGATGCTAGATTCATAAGCTGGTTCCTAATCAGTGTTCCTGCAAGGCAGTGTCCATTCTGATTTTGAAAAGATTATGGGGTTAACATCTAAAAGCTCCACTCTTTGGGTTGATGAATCAAGTGTAACTTAAGCACTACAGCACACTTTTGATAAAACCAAAGGTAGGTGGCATGTGGCCATTTGAGCACAAGCATTTGTCCATGTGACCAATATAACTCCCTTGTGAATTAGCCATTTGCAAAACTACCAACTCACCATCTTTGAACCACTCAAGTGAATTCAGTTTAACAACACATTGTAACTACAGTAACGTGTCAGGTTTGTATTTACTAACCTAACTGCACATTGCTCCAAATATTACAAGTGAATAGGAAGTACAGAATCACCATGGACAAGTGGTGTGTTGCTTGGCATCAATTTGGGAGCACCATCCAATTGTGCTGAAATTGTGCATGTGACTGCAGAATACTGCAAGTTTTTAATGCCTTTTTCAGATAACATAAATGCCATTCCTCAGCACTTGTGCTGAATCAATAGCTACGGGTCTATATCTTGTGTACTTCATGGTTTCTGTCTGCTCTAAACACCAATCTAGTCAGCCTAAAATGGGTAATTTGGCTTGTAAAGCTCACCACTTTACTTTGCCTGTCTTGTTCAACCTTTCCTGAAAGAAGCTTGCTACTCCAGGTTGCTAAAGTGTAGTACCTGCTAGTGTTGGACTACTTGAATTCTACTTTTAATTTTATCCATCCAATAGAAGGCTTTGTGCATTATTGTAATAGATCAATTCATTGTAAAACAATTAGCTAGCTTTTAATTTTGGTTTCTGTATGCAATTCAGATTTGGTTTTTTTGCATTTCCTGTAGACTGATAATATATTTTAATTCACCTTTGAACTACACCACCAATGCAGCTGAAACTTGCCCTTTAGTACTTGATGCTTGAAAAGATGGTCCATTCAGGATGACAAAAGAAACATTCCTTGCCCTCTCCACTTAGTTGTCAATGTTGAAATGTAAGCTGATTCCATTACAATCTTGATTCAGTCTAAAACTTGTAGTCTGTACGTTTAAAGTAGAATTGTACCCAAGTAACTTAGGATTTAAGAG